TTCATCTCATCTGAAATCCCTTCACTCAGTGTTCATCTCTGGGAGCTTCTTAATGTCTTCCTCATTTCTAGAGGAATGTTTTGCTAGAGAATCATATTTCATACAGTGTGCTTGCTTTCATTTCACATTGCATATATTGACCCAGTTTCTTCTGACCTCTGTGTGTGTGTGTGTGTGTGTATGTGTGTGTGTGTGTGTGTGTGTGTGTGTGTGTGTGTGTGTGTGTGTGTAAAACATGCATTTGGAGATGCATTTGTCCTACCATGTGTGTGGAGATTAGAGGACACTTTTGCCAGTCCTTACCTTCCCCCTTGTTTGAAGCAAGGGCTAAGACTTGACAGCACAGGGATTTCAGATGAGGTGACCCAGGTTATCTGGCCCACAAGCCCCCAGGCATTTTTCTATCTCCATTGCCTTTCCCGCTTCTAGGGAGTTCTGATATTACAGGTGTGTGCTACTGTGTCCAGCCTTCACATGGACTCTGGGAATTCACACGGAGGTCCTCACCTCACACTCTGAAAGGCAGATGTTCTAACCACTGACCTATCTCCCAGGTCCCCACCCAGGCTTTTTATGAGAACCCAGTGGCCTTGGAAAGTATGAGAAAGGTATCTTCCTGACAGCATCGCTGTGGCAATAAATTGCTTTATTCTATTTCATGAGCAGAACATTTTTCTGTAATTTAAGCTGTAGCATCATCTTGGGCCCACCAGTCAGAATTCAAAGAAAAGGTGCCGTGGTGAGTGCAGATATGAGGTCAGCAAAGCAGGAGGCACAGCAGACATTCAAACCAGAAAGCCAAGAGCATCCTCCAGGCTCTGATTTCTAAAAAGCCTAATGCCAGGCTCCATGGCCCACCTGAGCCAGAGCCTTTGGGTCCCGGCCAGTCCTGTCAGGGCAGGGCCTGCTATGACCTCACGAGGAGCGATTGTGAGGGCTCCAGCCAGCAGATATTATGCTGTGGCCCGGCCTGGATTTCTTTGGGTGTGTTGAGAGGAGCTGTGGAGTGGTGCCCTGTGTGATTTTACTGTTATCAATCGAGGTTGTGTGTGAATTTTGCATTGATTGTTTGGTTTGTGTGTGTGTCTGGGTTTCACTGTGCATGTGTGTCTAGACGTGTGTGTGTGTGTGTGTGTGTGTGTGTGTGTGTGTGTGTGTGTGTGTGTGTAGGTTTGCTTGTGTGTGTGTGCTTGTGTTTTTATGTGTATGTGTGTCTAGATGTGTGTGTGTATAGGTTTGCTTGTGTGTGTGACTTGTATGTGTGTGTGAGTGTTATATGTATGTGTTATTGTGTTTAAGTTCACTTGTGTGCAAGTACCTGTTTGAGTGTGTGCACCTGTGTGTTTTCATGTGTGAGTAGGTTTACCTGTGGGTGAGTGTGAGTGCACTTGTGTGTGTGTGTGAGTAGGTATACCTGTGGGTGAGTGTGAGTGCACTTGTGTGTGTGTGTGTGATTAGGTATACCTGTGGGTGAGTGTGGATGCACTTGCGTGTGTGTGTGTGTGTGTGTGTGTGTGTGTGTGTGTGTGTGTGTGTGTAGGTATACCTGTGGGTGAGTGTGGGTGCACTTGTGTGTGTGTGTGTGAGTAGGCATACCTGTGGGTGAGTGTGAGTGCACCTGTGTGTGTGTGTTTGCGCGTGCATACGTGCACGCGTGAGTGTTTTGTGTCCTATAGGGGCACGTGTGGGTAGGTGTGGGAACACCTGTGTGTGGGAGAGCATTGACGCCCAGAGTCAACTTGACCGTTGGACCTGAGGTAGGTCACCTGCCTTGTGTTTTGAGACTGCCTCTCTCACTGAACTGGAGCTGGTCAAGTGTCTAGGCTGGCTGGCCAGTGTTCCCAGGGATCTGCTGCGCTGACACTGCAATCAGATGAAAACAGCACTTCCTGATTCGTTTATGCTAGGTTTCTAGAGATGGAATGAGGCCCTCCTGTTTTGCATGGGCAGCAATTTAACTACTAAACTATCTCCCCAGCCTGTGGCTATTTGAGGTGTTTTGGGTTTGGGTTTTTTGTTTGTTTGTTTTGTTTTGTTTTGTTTTTCCTGAGAGACGGTTTCTCTGTGTAGCCCTGGCTGTCCTGGAACTCACTCTGTAGACCAGGCTGGCCTCAAACCCTGAGGTCCACCTGCCTCTGCCTCTGGAGTGCTGGGACTAAAGGTATGTGTCACCGTAGCTCGGTGTTTGAGTTTTACTTTTGATGTTTTGGCTTTTCTGGCTTCTTGGTTTGGGCTGGTTTCAGGTTTGTTAGTTTTGGTTTGAAATTTTCTTTGTGTTTTTATTATTTTTACATTTTGGGGTATATGTGTGACCTTTGGTTTTCTGATTTTGTTTTGCTTTTCTAGGTTTTCTTATTGTATTTTTGATTGTTTGGGGTTTTCGATTTTTACTTATTTCTTTTTTTAAGATACAGTACTTTTTGAGAATTTCATATATTCATAGAATATACTTTGATTATATTCACTGACCACTCTTCCCCAACTTCTCCTAGATCTCCCTACCTCTACTCCAACTCCCAATTCCTCTCTCTCTCTCTCTCAAAAGCCCATTGATCCCAATTTGGGCTCATATGTTCATGGGTGTGGGGGTATCCATTGCAGTGTGGTTGGCCTATCCGGAGCCACATCCTTTTTTTTTTTCTATTACTACATTTATTTATTCTTCATTCATTGTGGGGGGCAGATACAATGTGGTATCAGAGGATGACTTGTTGGATCTGCTTCTTTCTTTCTACCTTGTGGCTCTTAGGAATCAAACACAGATAGATCATTAAGCTTGGTAGCAAGTGTCATTACCCACTGAGACATCTTGAAAGCCTATGGTTCTTGGTTTTTAATTATTAGGTAAAAAGATAAATAGCAATGTTCTAATGAAAATGAAGTTTGGTGTGCTGGTTTAGAAAGCATCAAGGGATTTACTGGGATTTGGTTTCCTTTTGGAGCCGAGTTCTGGCTACTTTGAGGCTCTTTGCAGTCGGTTTGGTTTCCTTTGTCAGAAAAGTATTTGGTCCATTTCCTCTGCGTTGGAGAAATGCTTCTGCTCGACATTAGGGGAATGCTGCAAGCTGCAGAAATATGAAGTATGAATTCAGCTGACAATGACAACATTCTAATACCTGGAAGAGCAGGCAGGAGCCACGTTCTTGAGGAGAAATGACTCTCCCTTCCCCAGAAACCACCAACTGTCAGTGGCTCCTATGGGCAGTCATGCTGGACTGCTTACTGCTTGGTTTTGGGCAGGTCTTGTGCAGGCAGCCACAGCTGCAGCCAGCTCGTGAGTGCAGTGGTCCTGTCATGCCAAGAAGATGATCATTTGCTCTGGTCCTTCCCACCCTCTGGTTCTTACAATCTCTCTGCCCCCTTTTCCATGACGGTCCCTGAGCCTTAGAGGAGGAAGGGTATGATGTGGACATCCCATTTGTGTCTGAGCACTCCATTGACTCTCTCCATTCTTTGACAAGTTGTCAATTTCTATGTAAACATTTGCACAAATGAATTTCTCTGATGAGATCTGAGAGTTGCACTAATAAATCCAAAGATTTGATGCAAGGATCCACATATGAATGGGAACATGAGAACATGCCAGCTTGCCTTTCTGGGTCTGGGTCACCTCACTTAGTGTAATGTTTCCCAGTTCCATCCATTTACTTAGAAATTTCATAATTTCAGTTGTCTTTGTAGCTGAATAAAATTCCATTTTGTATGGGTACCACATTTTCATTAGCCCTTCTTCAGTTGATGGATCTAGGCTGTTTACATATCTCAGCTATTGTGAATAGAGCAGCACTGAACGTGGGTTTGTAAGTGTCTCTGCAGCAGGAAATAGAGTCCCTTGAGTATATACCCAGGAGTGGTATAGCTGGACCACGTGATAGGTCTATTGCTAGTTTTCTGAGGAACAGCCACACTGATTTCTACAGTGGGTGAACCAGTTTGCACTCCCATCCACAGTGCGTGAGGGTCTCCATCCCCCACACTCACACCAGCATCCACAGTGCATGAGGGTCTCCATCCCCCACACTCACACCAGCTACCACAGTGCATGAGTGTCTCCATCCGGCACACATATACCAGCATCCACAGTGCATGAGGGTTTTCATCTGCCACATCCACACCAGCATCCACAGTGCATGAGAGTCTCCATCCCCCCACACTCACACCAGCATCCACAGTGCATGAGGTTCTCCATCCCCCACATCCACACCAGCATCCACAGTGCATGAGGGTTTCCATCCGCCACATCCACATCAGCATTTGTTGCCTTTTATTAGTCTTTGCCATTCTGACTAGAGTAAAACAAAATCTCAAAAAAGTTTTAATTTGCCTTTCCCTGATGGCCGAGGATGGTGAACATTAATACAAATACAAACATATATACATACACACACACACACACACACACACACACACACACACACATATATATATATATATGCAAACACATATGTGTATATATATATATATTTATATATATATTTCTTAAGCCATTTGTGTGTCTTCTGAGAAAACCCTTTTCAGTACCCTCTCCAAATTATTCATTTAATTGTTTCTTACTGTTTATTATTTTTTAAGTGACTTGTATAATCTAGAAGCTGTTGTGGGCTTTGTTATATTTTGTTTTGATTTCTAGGTTTTTCCTTTTTAATGTATTTTGTTTGTTTGGAGTTTTGCTTGCTTTTGTTTCATTTGACATTGCTTGGATCTTCTAATTTTTAAATTTCTTCATCCTTTCTGTATTTCTTTGTATGTTTTTCTTCTTAAGCAATCAACGGTCTTCATTCTCAGTGTTGCTGAGCTCTGGTCCTCCTCCCTAGTGGCCTGCAGCTAGGTTTTTTTTTATTTGGATTCTTTTGGTTTTGTGTGTGTGTGATTTTGGTTTTCTGGGTTTTTGTTGTTGTGGTTGTTGTTAGTCGTTTGATAGAATTTCAGGCTTTCTATTTTTTTTCACTGTTTTCTTTTTCATTTTGAATTTCTTCTTTCTTCTTTTTTCTTTCTCTTAGGTAGCATTTATACTTTGTTACCAAAAATGAGCTCTAACAGTAATGAAGAGGATGCCACAGACCTTGGATCTCCATCCAGCCCCCCGGAAAAAGAAAACTTCTACTCGCAGTATGTGATGTTGAGGACCATTGGCCGTGGAGGCTTTGCTGAAGTCAAACTGGCCTACCACCGCTTCACCAGCACCCTGGTGGCTGTCAAAGTACTTGAAAAAGAGAATAAGTGGTGCTTACCGGTCAATCCTGAGGTAAATATTATGAAGATGATCAACCACCCCAACATCATCTCACTTGTCCAAGTGATTGAGTCTGAGAAGAAAATATACCTGATCATGGAGGTGTTCGCGGGAAAACAACTATATCAATACGTTGGAAAGGCTGGCCACCTGGAGGAAGACCGTGCCCGGGGGATCTTCAGGCAAATCCTAAGTGCCGTGAGTTACTGCCATGAACATGGAATAATTCATCGGGACCTGAAACCGGACAACATCATGGTGGATAGGAAGGGAAATGTCAAAATCATCGACTTTGGCCTTGGCGCCCAAGTTAGGCCTGGAGAAAAACTCAGCTTTTACTGTGGGGCTTTGAAATTTGCTGCCCCTGAATTTCTCCTTAGAAGACTTTATGACGGCCCCAAGGTCGACATATGGACGTTAGGAGTGGTTCTATATTTCATGGTAGTCGGGAAAGTCCCATTTGATGCTGTCACCCTACCAGAGCTCGGACATCAGATTGTGAATGCAAATTATACTGTCCCCTTGGGCATGTCACCAGAGCTCCAGGACCTGCTTAGCCTCTTAATGACAGTCGACCCCAGTCTTAGGCCAACAGTGGATGAAGTGAAAAGACATCCCTGGCTTAGGGAAGACATGGAGGCTTCACCAAATGACTGTGAAGAAATGGTCCCTGGCTTGCCTGACCCTGCTATTGTGAAAGCCATGGAACACATTGGGTTCCAAGCCCGGGACATCAAAGAATCATTACACAAGAGAAAATTCAACCAGACAATGGCATTTTATTGCTTACTAAAAGGGCAGGCTCTCCAGTTTCCTACCTGCACAACCTTGGCTCAACCTGTGAATCCAGGGGTGGCACCATTCCCTTCCCTAGAGGATCCTGTTGCTTTCCCTCTACCACCCAGGAGGAGGAGGAGTGAGCCTGCCCTTGGCACATTGCTCAGAGGGCCATCCACTAGTGGTCAGGTGTCTGCCTGTGGCCAGTGGCCAGGTCAAAGAGGAGACAGAAGGGCCACCATTCCTCTCCACACGCCACTCCCTCTCCACACGCCACTCCAGAGAACATTCACTTCAGACCAAGACCACCAACGCTCCAAGAGTGGTCCCTGCATTTGCTCAATGAGTACCAGCAGTGATAATACAGAAGACATCTTATGCTCCCACAGAGACTCAGCAAAGGACAAGTCCACCCGCAGCCATGGCCAGCCTCGAGGCTTGAAGGCATGGGCAAGGAGGATAGGAAATGCCTTCATGAGACTCTTTTGCTGCTGTCCATCAAGGAAGAAACCTCGCTGGGGGCAGAACAGAATCTTGCCTCAGAAATGAGGCACAAGGAGGGCGTCCGGAGAACAAGCAGCAGGCCTGGCCCAGGTACCTTTCTGTGTTGGAATGAGTGTTTTACTCATGTCTGTGTCAATGGACAGATCATAACTATGTGTATTTATGGGATAGAATGCATTGGGAAGCTAGATGTAGATACCATGGGATGGTTCAATGGAACCTATCAACATATCTAGCATCCCAGAAGACAAATCTCACTGTATCCTACACATGGGAAATCTAAAAATGTTGGACTAGAAGTCAATGGCAGAAGGGTGTTGACCATGTTAAGAGAAGGGAGGGGGGAGGAGGAGGTGCTAAGGGAGGAGAAAAGTGGTATGAGGTGGGAGCTAGGTGATGAGGGACAGAGGTGCCTGGGAGCAGAGGTTTAGACAGGAGGAAGCAGCTTGGAGAGCAGGGCAGAGCAGGGTGACCACAGTTGGAAAGACGCCCTGTATAGCTGCAGTCACAAGATTCTCATTCACGTGTGTTGTTGTATTTTAAGAGTTTTTCAGAGGATGCAGAACATCACAAATCTGCAGCCGTGGTATTGGAGAGGACTCACATATGGGAGGAGACCTGTAGACGGAACCATGCACAAAGCCCATGATGCCCTGTGCCTTGCTCAGAGTTCCAGCCAGGAAGAAGGGAGGAAATGATGGAATCCTGGGCCGCAGGAATTCTGCAAGGATCCTGCCCCTCAAAGGCATCCATAATCAGGGGGCAGGAGCCGAAAACGTGTCCAAAGTCTACCCAGGTCACATGAGACCCCTCTTCTCCCGACACTTCCCTGCCTCATTCTTAGTAGCAGACTAACAGTAACAGATTTCTCAGGGTCCAAAGTGACAGCTTTGTTCTCCCTGACACATTTCTCGGGGCCCAAACTGACAGTTATGTTCACCTTGACAGATTTCCCAGGGCCCAAACTGACAGCTACATTCTTCCTGACAAATTTTTTGGGCCCAAACTGACAGTTTTCTCAGGGCCTAGACTGTCTGTCTCCTCCTCATCGGATATTGTAGAGATATCTGACAGGGAATTGGTGGGGGTGATGAAAAGATTACCCATCTTTTCAACGGGATGAAAATTTGTATCAGACCCTTATGTCCTGTGCTTATGGGGGCTGTTTGTGGTTTTTTTTAGGCCATGACCTTATGCCCACATGGTGTCTCCGGATGAGGGATGGCAATCGGGAGCCGAGTCTTGGTTCCACCTCCTTGGAGGTCAACCCTTATGTGGAAGTGCCGGGAAAATCGAAATGAAAAAAAAAATGTGCCTTCCTAACAGAATGGACAGACAAACATGAAAGACAACACAGAAGAAGGAAAGAAGTGGGGGCCCCAATGCTCACCTGCCAAAGGGACGGAAAGAACACAACACTTCTCACCGAAACACACTGTTTGTGTTTCTTGGGGCCACTCTCAAGCACGGCCTGGCAAGTAAAGAGAGGGAGCCAATCAGAACCTGCACTGGGAGAAACAAAGTAACAGAAGCCCCACATTGGGTGCCAGTCATTGCTTGGATTCTAGCAGCTCCCTCGGGGGAAGGGGTGATGAGGCATGTCATCAAGGACACAGACACAGACACAGGGTGTCTGTGGAAAGCAAATAATGAACTTTATTTAATAACAGGGTAGCCCTTCTATACCCTCCTCCCAGCGCCCATTGTGTGTCGTCGTCCCTCATTGGCTGGGCACAATCAGGAATTCTGACAGCAATTGTTGCTAGGTCCTCAGACAGACTCAGCACGATCAGGAACTCTGACAGTGACTAGGAACTCTGACAGCTCCTGTTGCTAGGCCCTCAGGCAGACTCCAGGTTAGCTCTTAAGGAGTACATTCTGTGCATGCCCTGGCTACTGGTCTGAGCCAATTGCCTCCACCCTATGGGGCCTGTCCTACTATAATGATTGTCATGAATCTCGGAATAAAAGTCATGTTTGTGAAAGATGACCAAGGGGGTTTTCCTGCATCTTCCTTTCCCCGGAGAATTGGCCCTGTGGTGCTCAAAAGTCCCAGGAAAAGTAACTTCACCCCCAACACCACCAAGTCATTAGAAGTGTCTTTGAAGGAACAAGCTCTAAGGTACCTGAAGGGGGAAAATGCAGAACCTGAGTGTGGATTTTGGGTCTTTCTGGATCCAGCAACCTTTTCAGAAGGACCAGTGAGAACACTGGTGTCATCAGCTTGCCTCATTTCCACAGAGGCAAGCATGGGAGCCTGATGAATTCCTGTGGACATGGCTCAGGTTGGATCCCAGAGTGGCTGAGAAGCCACTGGTCCATCCTGCTGTGTTCCTTAATTGTATCATACAAGATGTTCATTCTCCCTGCTGTGACATTTTCCCTTTTTAGATCTATGGGACAGGGCCACCCCTCTATGTCCTATCCAGGCATGTGTCCTTCAATGAATGAGTCAGATCTGGGGCAGAAAGAAGATGTGTGATGGCAAAGAGAAGCATAAATGTTCCATGTGAGAGGGCAGGCCCTGAGGACACAGACCAGCACCAAGATATGCCCTGTTATAGTGACCTCACCTAACAAATACCAAACCCAAACCCTATCATACTTGGCAGATCACCATTGCCTGGGGGGACCCATCTCACAGTCACCAAAGCGCTGGTTCATGTGTACACCTGTCCGCTCGGATGGTAGGCTCTCATAGATTCCTGAGATGCCCTCATAGCATCTTTCCAGTTATCCTGGTGTAAAGCTCTTGGATTCTTTATAATGTTGCCAATCTGTTTAGCAAACACCCCTCTCTAAACTCTACTCTTACATTCCTTTAAATTCAGCCTCATGAACTCTCAGGGAATAGACAGTGTGTGAGTGTGTATGTGTGTATACATGTGCAAGAGAGAATGTGTGAGAGAGAAAATATGTGTACGTGAGTGTGTGTGTGAGAGAGAAAAGTGTATGTGTGAAAGCATGTGTGTTTGTGTGTGTGTGTGTGTGTGTGTGTGTGAGAGAGAGAGAGAGAGAGAGAGAGAGAGAGGGAGAGACAGAGACAGAGACAGAGAGATTATTAGGTTACACAATATATCACTACACCTGTAAGTTGAGCATCATCCTTAACCTCTTCTGCAACTTCGTTTAAAGTCAACTTCTGAGAGTGAATTTGGGTATCATGGTGGCTGGCTTCTTCTGTACCTTCTCCAGGACAGCTTTCTGCCTCTATGGCAAAAATGTATTCTTGACATTTCCATAAAGAGATTGAGTGGGTGTTGGAGAAATACATCACTGTGGATCCTATTTGCCAATGCCTAGACGATGGATCACCTCTTTTCAAGGAAAACAATTGGGGTACTCCTCAGCCTCCAACAGTTCTCTTATTGGTGGCATGTCCTGTGTGTGCGCGTGTGAACGTGTGTGTTTGTGTTTTATACCTCTATCTTATAGTCCAAGTGGTCTGGGAATTGTTTGCTGTTTTGCTCTTTATTTCCAGAGATGAAACAGAACTACAGAACCACTTTATTAAAGCATTTCAAAACAGCCAGGTCTGGTTGTGCACACCTTTGATCCCAGCACTCAGGAGGCAGAGACAAATGGATCTCTGAGTCTGAGTCCAGCCTGGAACTTACAGAGTAAGTTCCAGGACATCCAGGGCTACACAGAGAAACCCTGTCTCCAAACCCAACAAAGGGTTGGGAGTGGCATTTCAAAAACAACTTTAAAGACATAACAGAAAAAAACGATGACTTCTATCTTAAAAATCTGCTCCTGATACCCAGGAATACATTACAGGTGACAGAGAATGAATGAAAGATGTTCTCAGCCTAGAGCCGCCACCGCTTCCTGTTTGAACAGTGTTTGCATGTGGGCGTCAGCCGAGGGCTCCAAGCCAGAGGCTTCTACCACCTTGTCGTGGCCTTGACCACCAATTCACTCCCTGAAGGTGATCCACAACTACCACCATGGCACAGAGGCTGCTATGGACCTCCAGATCAACCTGGAGCTGTATGCCTCCAATGTCTATCTGTCCATGGCTTGCTACCTTGACCAGGGTGGTGTGGCTTTAAAGAACTTTGCCTAATCGTTCCGTTCTCATGAGGAGAGGGAACCTGGGGAACTGATGAGGCTACAGTACCGAGGAGGTGGCCAATTTTACTGCAGGATATCAAGACCTGATGACTAGAAGTATGGACTAAACACAATGAAGTATGCAACTGCATGTGGAAAAGACTGTGAATCAGTCGTGACTGTAACTTCACAAACCCCCCACTTATGTAACTTTGTGGATGGATACTCATTACGTGAATAGGTGAAATCCATCAGAGAACTGGGAGACCACATAACCAACCTGGGCAAGATAGGAGCCCCTGAAAAGCACACCCTGAGACACAGTGAAAATAAAAACTAAGAACCATAAACCCCAGAACCACAGGTGACTTCCCTGGTCACGGAAGCAACACATGCATGCCTGGTTACTTTTACCTTTTCTAGAAGTCACATCGCAACATCCACTTAAGTTCTTTAGTTTGTACCATTCCTTCAAATAAGGAAATTTGGTTAAAAAAAAAAGGATGGATGGATGGATGGATGGGCCAACTCCACATATCATTCAGACTGCAGCACAATTCTTACAGGTTTTAAAGGCAACAGAATTTCACTTTTAAATTGAGCAGGTGCAAAACTAGGAATATATTTCTGAAGGTTAAAGCTATGAACTGAAGTCCCCAGGCCCTCAAAAAAAAAAAAAAAAAGAAAGAAAGGAAAAAGCAAAAAAGCCACACCTATGTTAAATATCACTCAAGGATGATTGACAAATGAGAACTTCTATGATGGGACTAGAGAAGTAGTTTAGGAAGGGTTACTGCTCTGCAGAGAACCCATCACCCATGTCAGGTGGCTACAACTTCCAGTTCTAGGAGGTCAGGCACTATTTTCTGGACTCCACAATCACCTGCACTCACATCTGCATACCCACCACTGCCCTCCCCCCACACAAAATTAAAAATGAAATAGTGGAATGGAGATATTATTCAGTGGTGGTTTTTGCTGGGAGCATGGTTTGTAAACCTTCAAAACCCAATGGCGGCTCACAACTGTGTGCAAGTCCAGTTCCAGAGGATAGTGATGGATGCTTTGCAGTAGTAACCTCTGCTCACCTGACTGGAATTTCTAGCCAGTCCCAAATGACCACACATGCGCTGGGGAGACATGTAGTCATTCCCGGGGGCCTTATGTCCTACATAATCTGTGCACTGCAGTCACATAATAACTAACACCCACCAAGGCATTTTTGTTTGTTTATTTTTATTAATTAATTTATTTATTTTAAACAGTAAAATATTTTTTCTCTAGAAAATAGTATAAATGATAACATTTCCCAATAAGCCCTTTTAAGCCAAATGATAGCTGAATTATACATATATTGATTAGATTCTGTGATACAGAAGAGACCTATCTTCATCTGTTCAGAGAGCTATGTTTTATTTAAGTTGTGTATGTGAGATTCCTATTCATGTTCCCCTTCACTGTTTGCTTTACGGCAGACATTTTTCTATAGGCTAATCCATAATCTAAAAAGATTTTAGCCTCCCCTCCTGAATGTACGGCCAGCATTTTCTTTCATCAGCTTGATACAGTACAAATTCTTATCCTAATAGTGAAATGTTTCAGGAAAGCTTGCCCAGTGATTGGGCAAAACGAAAACTTATTATAAGCCACAGTCATCCTAGGGTCCCCCCTGCTAGGTAGCCTCCCTGGTTCTGTGGGTTGCAGCCTGATTGTCCTTTGTTTTACATCTAGTATCTACTTATGAGTGAGTCCATACCATGTTTGTCCTTCTGGGTTTGGGTTATCTCACTCAGGATGATATTTTCTAGTTCCATCCATTTGCCTGCTAATTTCATGATGTCATTTTTTTTCTCTGCTGAGTAGCACTCCATTGTGTATTTTCTTTATCCATTCTTCAGTTGACAGGCATTTAGGTTGTTTCCAGGTTCTGGCTGTTACGAATAATGTTTCTATGAACGTAGTTGAGCATGTGTCTTTGTGGTATGATTGAGCACAGAGATACATGCTCAACTATGTTCAGAGCAGCATTAATTTTTATTTTTTAATAAGTCATATGGTGTGGGTGTGCATGTGTGTGCGTGTGCGTGTGCGTTTGTGTGTGTGTGTGTGTGTGTGTGTGTGTGTGTGTGCTGTCTGTCTATCTGTGTGAGGGTATGTGCACATGAGTACTGGTACCCAAGGAATCTCCTGAAGCTGTAGTTACAGACTGGTATGAGTCACCTGATGTGGATGCTGAGAACCAAAC